GTCACCAAAAAGTGTCGTTACACTACAAAGGCGCGACCATTACGGGACATGTTGAAAACAAAAGAATTTTGCTGGACGGGAGAGGCAGATGCAGCATTTACTCAGTTAAAACAAATATAGGATCCGTCACTACCGGTAATGTTAGCAACAGACGCAAGCCGAACGGGTCTAGATGCTGTATTGTCACATCGTTTAGAAAATGGAGTGGATCGGCCAATAGCTTATGCAAGTCGAACGATGACTGCTACGGAACAACGATATACACAAATTGATAAAGAGGCACTAGCTATTGTGTGGGCAGTGCAAAAATTTTTCAAATACTTATATGCTCGTCATTGGATATTGATCACGGATCATAAGCCGTTATCACAGATTCTTCAACCTAATAAATCGCTTTCAGTACTATGTATAAGTAGAATGGCTAACTATGCAGAGTTTTTAAATAGATTCGATTTCGAAGTTATATACAAAAATTCAAAAGCAAACGCAAATGCCGATTATTTGTCACGTGCTTCCCTTCAACAAATAAATCAATTGCAACAAATAGTAGCGACTCATGCAGATGAATGTGATGAGTTCGATAATTTCATGATTTGCCAGATAAATCAGTTGCCTGTTAAAGCAGAACGTATTGCAATAGAAACCAGAAAGGACAAGCATCTCGGCAAGATAATCAGAATACTGGAAAGTGGCCGCTATTTAAAAAGAGAAGGTTACAAATCGCCAGAAGCGAGTTACGTGTTGTCATCAGGGTGCTTGACGTTCGAACATCGGGTCGTTATCCCTCCACATTATCGACAAAGATTACTAGAGAATCTACACACATCGCACTTCGGAATGGTAAAAATGAAGGGCATTGCTCGTTCTTTTATATATTGGCCAGGAATAGACAAAGATATTGAGACTATGGCCAACGAGTATGATTGGTGCGCGAAACAAGCGAATAAGCCGGTGAAATGCGATAGTCATCATTGGGAATACCCAAAAGGACCATGGGAACGTATTCATATTGATTATGTAGGGCCATTTGAAGGGGCAATGTTCCTAGTAATTGTTGATGCTTACAGTAAGTGGTTAGAAGTTAAAATCACAAAATCTACTACGGCTGCAGATACAATTTCGCTTTTGGACGATGTATTTGCTGTTCTTGGAGTTCCGCTTATGGTGGTTTCTGACAATGGAACGAATTTTACTTCTATATGTAGAATTTAACGATTTCCTCACAACAGTTGGTGTTAAATACCATAAATATTCAGCTCCGTATCATCCAGCTACTAACAGTCAGGCGGAGCGTAGCGTACAAACAATAAAAAATGCGCTAAAGACAATGGGCACAACAAGCAAGAATTTAAAGAAAAATTTGAACGAGTTCCTAAGGTAATACAAGAATGCCCCACATTCAATTACAGGGTTTTCGACAGCTCAGTTGTTTTTGGGACGACATCTGCGAACACGCTTAGATCTCATTCGGCCAGAGGAAATTGCAAAGAAGGTGAAAGATAAGCAATACTTGCAGTGTCAATCTAGTAATAGGTATAGGGAATTCGCACCAGGCCAAAGCGTATACTTCTTATCGGGCAATTCGCGAATGCATAAATGGCTCAGAGAAACAATTAATACACGTTTAGGTGATCTTCACTACGAAATACTTTGTAATGGAAAGGAAGTAAAGAGACATGTAAATCAAATTCGAAGAGCTGCAAGTGCACCCATTAGAAATACAGCGAAAGAATATCGTGAATCAAAATATTCGTTCGAGAGTAGTGGTGACAAGACAAAGGACTTGCTTGAAGCAGAGAACAATGAAACAACCACTGAAGGGAGTCCGGGATTGTAGAATGAGTTTGAGAGGCCAGAAAACAATGAAGCAACCACTGAAGGGAGTCCGGGATTGGAGAATGAGTTTGAGAGGTGGACAACGCCCAACACACCAAGAAATGAGGAGTTTTATTCAACACCACACCCAATAGCTGAGAGTACGCCTGAGACGACCAATGTAACTCCCGCTGTACGACGGTCGACAAGACAAAGGAAAACTAGAGTGTGTTACACACCATGATCCGGTGCAGGAGAGAAAAATGTTGTGTATGAATTTTATACACTAGCAACATTATTTATGAAGTTTGACAGTTGTCATTTTAACTTAGTAGTGTTTGTTAATAGTTTATTATTATGAAGTAGAAATGAAAAAATATTATTCTTATCTGTAACTTGAATGAATAAAGTTGAAATACAAAACCTGGAAAAAAGGATTACACAGAAGCAAATTCATTCAGGCCAGTTAGCCTTACCTCTTTCATGCTTAAAGCTATGGAAAAGGTAAAAGTGGACTACCTAGAATGCAGCACGCTAATGAAATATCCTTTAAGCAGATGTCAACATGCCTATAGGGCGGGGAGATCCACAGAGACTGCCCTGCACGAAGTCGTGAGGACAGCTGAGAGAGAGCTGACTTCAGCAGACCATCATGATGGACATCAAAGGAGCCTTTGACAAAGTAAGCTTTGATAAATAAAAATCTGCTCTAGCTGACCGAGAAGTCTGTTACGCAAGCTGAACTTAAAACCACGGTGTTCATAGGTTTGACTCGAACTCAATTAATAGAATCAAGCAAAAGCTAACCAAACCAAATCAATTATGCTGAGATTTGCATTCTTAAGATAAATATGATGGTGTTTGTCGTATGTAACTTGATTCCTATAGGAGGAACCATAAGCGCAACATTGTTCATAAAGAAAACAAAGAATACTGTATGCAGCTACAGTGATCATAGCTGAATCAGCATAAACAGTAAGTAAGTCTTTTATTTGTCTTGATACAAAGTAAGACAAAACTTAATTTGACAAATATGTGGAATAAATCCGCATAACAAGTCGATTCACTCATTATTGAATGAATAGATTTCATGCTAAAGCAAAGAGAAGTAAACTTACAAAATGGAAGACATAGACTGAGTGGCAGAGCAGTCAGAGGCTGCCCACAGGGAGGGCTGCTTTCACCATTTCTGTGAAACGTGACCATAGACTCTTTACTTCAACAGCTTGACATCAAAGGCATACAAACAATTGGGTATGCGGACGATATAGCACTGATGGCGAACGGCAAGTTCCCAGACACCATTAGAAACGTAATGAGAGGTGCTCTCAAATTCGCCGAAAAATGGTGTAGGGAACAAGGCCTGGCCATCGATGCCACGAAATCAGACACTATCGTCTTCACGAGGAAGAGAAGTCTGTCAATGGAGCCCTTACAACTTTTCGATAATAACATTCGCATATCAAAGTCGGTGAAGTATCTAGGTGTTGTCCTAGATAATAAACTGACTTGGAATGAACATGTGGATGAAAAGATCAGGAAAGCAAAAAGAGCTCTATTTCAATGTAAGAAAGTATGCGGAAGACAATGGGGGACATTCCCAAAGTGGGTGCACTGGATCCATACGATGATGGTCAGAGCTATTATAACATATGCGTCAGTTGTCTGGTGGTGTAAAGTCACCCAAAAGACAATAAAAACGAAGTTAGATAGAGTCCAGCGACTCGCCTGTGTTGGAATAACAGGCGGTATGCGAACTACACCAACACCGGCATTAGAGGCGATGCTAGGTTTGCTGCCGTTGGATTTACATATAAAGAAAACGGCGGCACTGGCAGCAATTCGCATGAACCGGAGCTTCACGTGGAACAACTTCGGAAAATTAGTGGGCCATCGTAAGATTCTTGATATCGTCCAGACCGCGGTAAAGGAAACGCAGATGCCATTGGAGACTATGAGGAGAGTTTATGGGACAGAAGTGTCCTATAGAACACTGAAAGTAGACGGCCTTCTACATAATGAATGTGAAAGGAATGATATTTGCATATTTATCGATGGCTCCTTAATGGATGGCAGAGCTGGTGCTGGGGTTTACTCGAAAGAGCTAAATCTAACGTGCACTCTACATCTAGGAATACATGTTTCCGTCTATCAAGCGGAACTTTTGGCGGTCTCACATGCTCTGGATCACCTATTGGATTGTCAGATGTATCAGAAAAAGATTCTGATAATGCTGGACAACCAAGCAGTTATTAAAAGCATGCAAACGACATACATAGCTAACAGCTTAGTACAAGAATGTGTAACGAAGGTCATAGAATGTACTCATGGAAATGAGGTGACGATCATGTGGGTTAACGGATAAATCGGTATTGAACAAAACGAGAAGGCAGATGAATACCATTTGGGGTACAGCATGACGGCAGCCTATGTCTATAAATGGACAACCTCACTTCATCTTAATAGATGGAGAGAGTTGAGCACTTGAAGACAGACCAAACTCATGTTACCAAAACCCCGCGTCAGAGAAGCGATAAAGGTGCTTAGCTATTCGCGGAGCACCCTAAGCTGGCTGACCTCACTAACTACTGGACATGGCAACTTCAAGTATCACCTCAAAAAGATAACTCTTTCTGAGGAAGACACTTGCAGACTATGTCTAGAAGAAAAGGAGACAGCGGTGCATATATTGTGCACTGTCCAGCACTAGCAAGTAGGAGGAAGACTGTCTTGGGTAACCATTGAGTTGGTGACGACTTGGCAGGAAACCATAAGCTAAATGAGCTGCTTGCATTAACAAAAGATGTAGTTATGCGAACGGAAGCCACTCCAGCTTTAACTCAATAACAACATCCGAGAATCGAGGAACAAAAAAGGACCTAAGTCGTTTCGTGGTCTACTTCGACTAATCCTTCATTTCAGTGGGGCCACTTATTGGGCAGTGCGCTGTCCCAACGTCCCATCATATATATATATATATATTAATTTTAGGGAGTCGGACACACCACTCCGACGACAGTCGATTTGACGGTGCACAAAGCATTCCACCTCCTCACCACAAAAAAAAATAATCTGTTGTTCCATATTTAAATAATATCAGTTGTTTATTCGTACTATTTAATTTTTTTCTAAAATATGTTACATATATTTACTAATAAAATTCTAATGCTATTTTTTTTTTATAGAATGCGCTCATTCATTGAGGAGAATGAAAAAAATGATCCTCTAATCAATGCTCCAGATAAAAAGAACAATCCCTGGGCTGAGAAGGGCAAATGTGTTATTATGTAATATTATCGCAAGCCACAAAAAATCCATAACAAATCAAATTTACATAAAAACATCCAAATCGATAACCTAACCTACAATAGTTATCAACAGAAAAAACTACAAAATCGACACTATAGAAAAATTAGTTGCAGCAATTTACTTGACAGTAATTCAAAAATGCTTGAAATTCAAACAACAGAACACACAGAAAATTCTTTAGATCCAATGCAGCAGTCAGCAGATGTTGTTGCTAAAGAAAATTCAGATCCACAACAAAAGCAACAGAATCAACAAAATAAACTTGAACATTTTGTTGACGTTAACGTCCATAGCAATTATTTCGATAACAATTGCAACAGTAATAACAACGCAACTATGGACAGTTTCTATTACTACTACAACTATAGCTACAGTTATGAGAACAACAATAATTTATACTATAAAAATTTGCCATTATACAAAACCAAATTGAAAACCTACGAAATCCTACAGAAGGTACAACGTCGAGTCTTACAAGAGGTACTCCAGCGGCCAATTTTAGTGCAGATGATCACCAGTTTCATGTGGATTCAAACGAGATTTTGGCAATTGTGCAATGAAAAGTTCTTCGCTAGACGTCTGCAGTAAAAAATTTTTGGCAATAGTCAAAGTTCATACAATAATGAAAATTGTCAATCTTTAAAATATTTTTCTAAAGATCCAAAACAAATCACGATGACTGAAGCTTTGTGGGGTTGTACAAAATATGGCAGAACAACAGAAGCTGGATTCATTACATAAAACATATTATGTTAAAATTAACAACAAATTATGTTGAATTTGTGTTTTCTTTTATTAAAATTATTTCCAATATTATGTACTTCAAAGTTATGTAAACAACAACTATGTACTCTTAATGATAAATTACATAACTATCCCATTACCACATAACAACAAATAAAATTACAACAAAATTGCTGCAAAAAAAACCAAATACATTTTAAATATGAATTTAATAAATTATATATGCTAAATCGCAAAATAACAACAAAATGTGAGAACGCAACATTTTCTTTACATTTTCATAATTTCGCACTTCAGTCGCCTATCTTTTTGTTACTTTTTCACACCCATTAACAAAGTCGACTCACTACTTTTTAATCGCTACTTTTTTCAATTATTTTCAACTTTTTTTTTTAAATATGAACACTATTTGTTGCATATGTAAAGTCATTTTATTTATTTATATATTTTTGTTTTTTAAATTAGTTTTGCGCCATGTAAAAATTTTGCACTTCTATTATATATATTATAATATATATAATATATATATATAAATATATTATCTATTATATATCTTCTATATGTTCTATATAATATGTTTTATTTTCTTAAATTTCTTATAAAGTAAGTAACATTAATTTTGTATATTTTAATTATATCTTCATACTTTTAACTGCATTTAAACTCATTTTAATTAACAATTACATGCTATGGAAATTTTTTGTGACATGAAACGATCTACAACCAAATTTTCGTTAAATTATAACATAAAAAAAAATATCTATGAATTAAAAACAAAATTGAAAATAGTAAAAATTAATGAAAAATGTGCTTACAAAAGAACCTGTAACCCACCCTAATCCTACTTTTTCTTCTTGATTTAAAAAAAACAGACAACAACAACAAAACAGTTAATATATTTCAATAATGCAATCAGTATTACCACAAAATCAAAAGAATAATGAAAATACACTGCAAACTGCAAACAACACCTTTTGGTAACCTATTATGTATGAAAAATTAATAACAGTAATAACAATATTGCTTATATAACAATATAATAATATTCCGTAACAAAAATGCTTCTAAAAAATGACAGCTATAAATATGTATCTTTTTTATACTTACAAGTATTGAGATATTTTAACAAGAGCCTTTGTAAGTAACTGGATATAAAAACCTTTCTATGATTTATTCTAGTTTTTTAAGTACTTTTACATTTTTGTTCGAAAACTCAACTTACATATACAAGCAATTAACAATAATAACATGAATCTATAATGATACGATAATATTTAAATAAACAATATAAAAATATTAAAACATTAATACACAAGAAAACATAGAAACATGAGAAACATAGAAACAATAACATATAAACTCAATATTAAAACAAAAAACATAGATACAAAAAACATTAAAAACAATGTAAACCTTAAACCTATATGAAAATATATATAAAAAAGTACTTGGTAAAACTGCTACTTCCTTTTTATACATTATATATCTACACCAAATTCATTATGACCAATATCTGTCATTTCTATAATTTCAAAAAGAAAAGATTTTTAAGAAAAATTTACATTGCGTCTTTGATGTTCTACTTTTAATACTTTATGATTAAATATTACATAGACAACATGCCTACTACCTTTTCGTGACGTACCATTATAACGAAAAGTAAAATGTTATTAATTTATAGTTTTTCGGATTTTAGTCTGAAGTGCTAACTTTGGTGAAACTAACATTAGAACTTAAAATGAATATTTACTAAAGATACCAAAACTTCTTACAATGTTATTAAAGTTCACTCATAGACTTGTTAATTTAGTGTATAAAAAATAAAGTTAAATAGTGAAATGTAGAATGTATATAAAAAAACTTGATTATAACACAATTGGAGCGCTAATATTTAAGTTATAATTTATTAAACATTTTTAATATACTATTTTATTGTTTTTATTATTTTTTTGTTTTTGAACAAATTATAACAGATTATGAAATAGTATAAAAAGTATTAATTTATTAATTCATATCACAACACATATTTACAGTGCTAGTTACTTCTTATTTACAAACTAAAGTGTTAAGCAGCAAACTAAAAAACACTGAAAGAATGCTTAAGATTCTTTTGCTTGTGCTTTTACGGATCCAATTTTGCTAAGCAATATTTATTTCTGAATACTCGCATTAGTGGGATATGAGTCGCTGTTTTTAACACAATTTTAGTTACTGTAATATGCTCTGTGTACTAGCATCAGGTTTATGCAACAATGCATGTTATATTAATTATAAACACGTCCAAGTATATCAATATCGTGACACTTTCTAATACATATATATTGTTTTTCGAGAACTTCGGTCTTCTTGGCTACAATTATTTTTGAAATTATTTACTTAATTTTTAAATTTAAATTTAAACTTGTTGATTGTGTACATATAAGTAATACATTTTTTATTTATATGCTGTTATACAAATTATTTATTTCATTTCTAAATCATATAAATTTGTCCGTTGTATTCATATATACAACATATTTATTATTTATTTATGTGTTATTAGTTTATTAATAGTTTTATTTTATTCCTGGTATACTGTACTATATGTTATATCCCTTTGTTACAATAATTTTGCAAACAAATTGATTATTTCATTTTAAATTATATAAATTTATTTTGTTAATGCATAATTATATTATATTATATTAATTCTTTTTTTATATATTATTAAGATTTTGTTAATAGTCTTAATTCTACTTACAGTGTACTACACTGTTATTTACTTCTAAGTAGCTTACAATAATTTTAAAAATAAATTGAATTTTTCAATTATGTCAATTTATTTATTATATGCATATTAGTATTATGTTCATTATTTACAAATATTGCTTATGTTTTTATTTTTAATTGTGTTTTTTATTCACATACTACTTTTTTTTTGGTATTATATTTTTTATTTTATATATTATTTTATATTTTAAAATCCCTTTTACTTATGATATATTTTTCAGTATCTTATATCATTATTATATTATTATTATTAATTTTTTTTTATTTATTAGCTATTTTGTTTTATTTACATCGCTTTAATGCATTTTCAATTTCTATTTATAATTGCTTATTAAAAAATTAAATGTTGATTTTTATTTTATTTGTAAAATTTAACAATATATTATAGTAGCTGTTTATTTTCCTTTTTTTTTTTGTTTATTAATTTTAATTTATTATTATTTTTATATATTAGTTGGCAATAAACTACATTTACAATTTACAAACATTTACTCATTTACAATTCTTTGTTATGTTTAAAAATAAAAATATATACAACCAATTTTTAGCAATATCTTATTTTGCTTAAAGTCCATACTTGTCCATTAACGAAGATCTTGGAATTCGTTAATAGACAATTTAAATGTTTATAAAATAAATTCCGTACAAAATGTTGAGTACTTACATATTTTAAGCAATTTTTAAGTTTTAATTTAAAAATTTATTTTCTATACATTTTCGTAATAAATGTTCCTATAACATATTTTTTTTTAAGTGTGAAGCTACAAAACTTGTGAAGGGCCATTGCCTTTAAGTTAGTTTTTTCACTACTATAATAGAACCTTTCGTATTTTTTACATATATATATATTGTTACGAATCATGACATTTATTTCCTAACATTTTTATGGATTTTTAAGATATATTGCTAATATGTTTTAAAAAATAAAACTAATAAAAAATTTTTTAAATATTGTTTCTTTCTTAATATTTTAAAGAAATAATTTGCAGTTAAATATTTTTTGAAATAAAATAAAAAAAGTTTTTAAGTCTGTACTTTCTTTCTCTCTTGAATTTGAAAGTATGGAATTAAAATAATAATTAAAATTTGTTAAAAAATAAATTTAACAAAAATTTCTTCAATAGTTCCCTGCTTTATAGTTAAAATCGAAATCTGATTATTCTTTTTATCAGGAACATACGATCCATCGAAGAAAACAAATGCGTCTATTGTAATATGCATCTAATACTTCTAAGTGTAAGAAATTCTTCTTTTCTTCTTCGGTTTTACGGTTTTACTGTTTTAAACTTATTTAAAACTTTATTTTTATAAATGAACCTTTTACATCTCCATAAATTTAATTTAATATAATACTGTTGCATGTTACATTTTTATATATAAACACTATTTATATGAATATAAATAACTGTAATTTTTATTTACATTTTACATACACAAAAGTATGATAGATGAAAGATATTGACTTCTTCACTGCCTTTAACATTTTTACTGCATTAAACAATGATTTCTAATCCTTTTGTGCAAAATCACTAACAGTTTAATTTAATTTAATCGCAATATATAATTTTAACACATCAGTGTTGTTCTTGTCTCTTGCAACAGATTTTTTAAATTTTTTCAACTTGACCAAAACCAGATATGTTACCTTACCTAGTTCTTACTATTTTTCTACAAAATTGTTTATTATGTTGATGACTTTTAAAGGCTTATATTAAAACTCTGTTATATTTACGAATTTTTTATATTATTATAATCATTACAAATCATTTTTTAAAAGACCAATTAAACTATTTACAACAATGCCTTATTTCAGAATTTTACTATGAGCAACATTTTTTAGCACTTTTACTCTTTACTCAACATGAATTCGTAGATGCTAAAAATAATAGTTTTTCAATAAAATTAGCAAATAATTTTAAGTAGCCATCGCAATTTTTGATAATCTAAACAGACATATATAAATGCATTAATATAAGCCGATGCTGATATTTATTTATTAAATTTCATAGTTGAAATTAAAGTCTTTAGTCTAACATAAACTTTATTATTTTTTA